GAACATGGCTCTTGACACATGAGCCAAAGAAAGGTTCAAAACTTGATTATGTTTCAGCAATGAGAAAGGTAAATAAAAGTAGGTAAAGCCTTAATTTTACATTTTTATTTAGATAATTATATCCTTATTCATTAGTAATTTTTTCATAATTTTACATTAGTTAATTCTTAAGGAGTTAGACACTTTGAAAGATGTAGAAGTTGGTGCACCTGCTCGTAATGAAGTTTTTGAAAAGGTAGTGGGAGAAGGCAAAAATGGATATGCAAAGACCTTTGGTGTAAGAGTTAGAGTTCCTCGATTTCGTTTTAAACGGTGCGCCTTGAAGGAGGAGAAAGAAAAAAGATTGAAAATTTAACAAGACCATGAAGAAACAAAAGACACACTCCAGAATTTTGAAGATGTAGTATCATTGCTTTTAAATACCTTGGTTATTAGTCTCTATTTATCATTGTTAATTACCCATATTTCATTTGATTTTTGTTTAGTTCATTATATAGTTTAAAGTTATGCCACCTAGCATAAGTGTAAGGAAAATGTGGTGCAAAATTTGTGATTACGTTATCATGTGCTTATATTTTTTTTGCATAGGGTTCAACGGTGAATCAGTCTGAAAGTAATGACCTTACAATTGATGGTAATAAAACCACTGAGAAAAGTCATGATGAGGATCGATGGAACAATGATGATGACGCTAAGAGCGATGAACTTGGAAGATATAGACAGTGACGAGCATTAAAGCTTGGGACTATATCTTCCATATCAATGGGTATTTTTATTTAGTTCACTTTGATTGTTTATACTTTAGCTTGAAACGTACGCAAATGATGAACTAATTTTAAGACGTTGGTTTAATTTTTAGTAAATGGGTTAGTTGTAACCCTTTGAAATGTTATCGTATTATGTTTTTTTGTTAGTACAAGTATGAGTATTACTTTTTATTTGTCAATGAAATTCTTTGATATCACTTAAATAGAGTATGCTGGTGTGAAACATGGTATTAGTAACAGATATAATAAATGTTAATGTTGGTCAAAATAAACTATTACCAACAGAAAAAAATGTTTTACTCACATAATTTTTTGTGGGTAATCCAACTATTAGCGATAGTTAAAAGAAATGTTAATGTTGGTAAAAACGAGGTATTACCAACAAAAAAGAAGGATTTACCCACAATAATATCTTTTGTCGCTAATTTATATTTTAGCAACATATATGTTTGGTCGGTACTCCTCTCTTTTTTAGCGACAACTTTGGTTTGTCGCTATTATACTATTTTAGCGATAGTATATTTTATATGTCGGTAATACTTTTACTGATGGAGTTTTTAGCGACAGACAATTATCTGTCGGTAAAAGCGAGTAGCGACAGATTATCAACCTTTAGCGACATATTGACCCCTGTCGGTATTGCCTCATTTTTAAGTAGTGTCCTTTTTATGGGTACCTTTTCATAAATAGTCTTTTTTATCTTCTGTCATGTTGGTGTTAATTTAAAAACTAAAAGTATAATTTGATATCAACCTTATGTCTGGTGACGTATTCTCATATTAGTTAGATATATAACAGTAAAATAATGACTATGATTGTGAGCTAGTATTCCAACGAAAGATCATATCTGTAGACTACAGTTGTAGTAGAAAGTGACTGTAATTCACAAACGACACATCAGAAGCAACCTTTGGAATTGTATATGAAAAGAAAGATATATATATTATCATTGCGAAATTATACACTTTTAACTCTCAAATTAACCCCAACATGGTAGAAGATCAAAAAATGATTATTTGTAGAAATATACCCATAAAAAAGGACCACCAAGTAATATTTGATAATAGAGGACGTACTAAATAGGGAAACCTCTCTGGTATAAAGGACCGATAATGGAATTTACTCTATTTTATTGGCATAAGTGTCTTCACTCTTGCAAGTTTAATTATATCAAATTTTGTTGATCTAATAAAATTGGTGGGGATACAAGGTTGTGCCGGAGGGTTCGGGGAATATAAATAATCAATTTTATGATCGGGTAAAAGTATTTTTATCATCATAAAATTACAATATTGTGGTAGGGATTAGATGAAGCTTGATGGATGGTGTATGTTGTAAAGTAATAAAAATACCCCGTCTCAGAAAAAGATTTTTTATTTCTTTTTTGGGAAGTCAACAAGCTTCCTCTTTTCATTTATAGGAAAGTTTGAGTGACTCACAAATTTTCTATTTTTTGCATCTCTCAATTCAACCACATATTTTCATTTTTATTAAATTTTATGCCAAATCAAACTGTGAACCTTATTTTGGGACAGAGGAAGTATTAGTAGAGTAAACTTGAAGTTATAGCGGGAAGTTGTGAATTTTTTTAATTGCTTGGTATGAAATTGTTTTAAATTTTGATTGATTTTATCTTAATAAGAAAAAATCTTTTGATAGTGAGTTTCATTGTGTTTAATTGGGCATCTATGTTGTTTCAATAAAAGAATTGTGTTTAACCTTTAATGCACCCGGAATCGATGCAAATCGTACTTTCCAAATTTTGCCCAATTTGGGACAAAAAGATTGACTCCAAAGTCATCAAAATTTAAGAGGTAGATTTTGAGGAGATGTAAAGTTTGTTTGTTTGGGAATCAATAAATTTTTATCGAAGAATTATAAGTACGCTATTTTATAATATGTCATCAAAATATAATGTCAAATGTACCGTAGAGTTAACCAAGTTTGTTTATCACTCAATTTATGGAGTATAGACTTTAAGACTTCAGTATTATTGAAAGACAAATTTTTTTGTGGCAATAAGTTTCACACTCATTTAATGAATCATAGTATATAAATACAATTAATAAATTGAGTTTTTTTAAAAAAATAAAAGATTCTTATGTCGGTCTATGAAAAATGTGAAAAGGTATACAATTCGCATGTGAATTTTATAATCATGGAAGTACACTTTTTAATAAAATTACAATATATCTAAAATATTTAAAAGAAATTAGGACCTAATATACTTTTAGATGAGTACATACCAAGTAACATTTACTTTTTCTATACCAAATTATTTGTCTTCATTTGTTTTTTCCCCTAATCTTGACCATAAATCATGAGAAAATCTGACCCCATTCCCTTCCCTCGAAAAATCTCCCCATTTTTCGAACCCAGACCCGCCTTTGCCCCTAAGGGTTGTAGCACTTGATCCACAACTGTCGATGTTGGCACGACACCCGGTTCGTGTCTTGAATTACCGGTATCCTGAAATTACAACCACAAATTTGAAATTTTGTTTGAATTGGTTTTTGGCATGATATCCGTGTCTTGTTAACCAAAAGATTATGAATTAAAACTTTAATGTCACCCAGTTTTAGAAAAAAGTCATGTTCATGTGCAACGCTCAATCCTAAGCCAATGGAAAGTTCAAATGAGTTGAGATTGCATTCATTCATTACGATGTGATTACGTACTCTAAAGAAGGATCAACCCCGTCTGGATTTTAGTCTAATTACGGATGCAGACTTGACAAATATCATTGCGGTAATTTTTTCAAGGGCTGTCTTCATGTGGTGCAATGTCTCGAGGTTGGGTTTGGTTGGCATTTCACGGCAACAATCAACTTATGCCCCGTTTGGTACAAAGTACCACCTGATTTCTTGGCAACAATCAACTTAGGCTCCATTTGGTACACGGAATTCAAACTATGAAATTAGAATTAAGGATTTCAATTTCAATTTTGGTGCTTGGTAGCACAAAAATTATGTGGATTTGAAATTGATAGTGCAAAGAATGAATTGGAATTTGTGAATTCAATTCTATGGAATTGAATCCCATAAAATTTCAATTCAATTCCATCAATTACATATACCAAACGGACCCTTAAGGTTTCCCAAGTAGAGTTTGGAGAGAGTGTATTTGCATACCTTGTCCTACCTAAAAAACCAAAGAAACTATTCACGAGAGATGTCTCAAGAAAAATAAAAACAAGTTGAAACACAAATTTTAAAATATGAACAACAGGGGTAAAACAATCATAGAATAAGGAAAGGGAGTAAGGAGTAAAGCTGTTGGGAGTTACTAGAAAAAGTAATGAAGTACCAATGGTATCTATAGAATAGTGAAGCGCTACCCATTGACTTAACTTTTTGAGTTAGAAAGTAGATCTCAATTTTATATACAAGTATTTAATTTTATCTGACACTCTGCCGGTTATTGGCCCACCGGATTTAATTTCTAACAAACGCAACTAAACTAACTCTTCTCCGGTTAACTGGTGTCTTTCCTACCTCAAAGTCCCCACGCTAACTTCTTGCACCTCTTCATAAGGCGTCCATGTTTAAGCTAATGCGGTTTCATTACAATGAATACTACGAAGTACGGAGCATATTTCAGAATAATGATAAACGGGCGTACAGCCGACAGAACCTAAAATTTTGCCACCCAAACCATTGTGCCGTTCCATGGCTAACATAGAAAGAATGTATCCCTGGGCGTACAGCCGACAAGACATCCTTACTGTGATCACTGATCAACACAACAGTAAAAAATTGTAGAGGTTAGTGCCCTTCCATAGAGTTCTTTGTGAATAGGCTGAGTACGCATTAGAATAGCAAACAATGGCATTTAAGAATCGCGCTTTGAGCAAATCATTATTCCTTACAAGGTCATCCCAACTTCTTCATTTCACATGACTAAGAAGTTTGAGTTGATGAATTCAAATTGAACACATGATCAGGGTGTCAATGGGTTAACTTTGTTTGGAAACAAACACAATTCCCACTCTGGATGGAGAAGAAGAGTTTAACTCAAATATAAGTGATCACCCGATTTCATTAGTACAAGGCCTTTTGGGAGATATCCGAAAACGAATTTATGAGGGCTTGATCCAAAGCGGAAATGTCATACTAATGTGAATTTGTGTCCACAATTATCCTTTTCTTTAGTTCACCTTTAATTGCAAGTGGTTGATCCCCAAGAGTGCATAAATTCTCAATGAGAGAGTTATGTAATGGTTTATGTAATTATAATCATAAGTGTGATTTATAACCTTCATGCCAGAGAAACAACAAAAAACAGAAGAGATTGAAAAAAAATGCAGAATAATGATTGACCAGAGAACGAGAACAAAGGCGGTGGAAGGGCAAACCAGATCAGAACTGATTCATACTGATAGAAGACCTAATTTTCAACTGAGAGGCAGTTTTCCGGACCGGAAAATTGCAAATTTCGAGACTTTGGAGTAAGTGTAGGGAATTCCATTGCTGATCAACAGCTCTTCAATCAGATTCTTGGCCATTTCCGGCTCCGAACTCTCGCATTCAATCTCAAAACATCTCCCGAAATCGAAATGCGTCTCGTCGAGCTCCAATTTGAATCCCCTCCATTCATACACGCCTCTCAGATTACGGAATCCGCCCAAGAGGACGAAGCCCTCTTCCCCGATCGCATACTCCGATTTCACTCTCTGTATGATCCTGCAATCGTCGAGTAATAGCAGCCGCCATGGCTCGGCGGTGCAGGCGCGAGCGATGGTGGTGTCGAGTTGCTCCTCGTCCTCCTCCACGCGGCTGATTCCGTCGGAGAGAGAGGGTTTGGCCTTGAGGGAGATGAGGCATTTGGAGTCGAGGTCGTAGAAGCGGATCCGAAGCACGGCGAGGTTGGAGGAGAGCTCAGCTCCGGCGCCGTCGAAGAAGAAGTTTTCCTGGGCATGGGTTTTGAGATGGTAGGGCGAGAGAATGGCCGAGAGACGCTGGTGAGAAGCGGAGTCCGGTAACCGAATCTTGACTTCTACTTCCATTAGGGTGAGGTTGGCATGAATCGCTTATGGCTAAACAACTATGATGTCCAACCATATCACTTAAACATGATGTGGTTTAGTGGCATAATAAAGGTGACTTTTTCAAATAGTGTCATTAAATCAAAAATCAAATCAATACTCCATATTATATTGTAATAGAATTATTACTCTTAAAAAAAATAAATCACACACTCTATATATTCAATTTAATGAAGACATAAGAGATGAATAAAATTTTATAATTCAATTTATAAAAGTTACGGAATATAATCCTATGATTATATATATATATATATATATATATATATATATATATATATATATATATATAAAAGTAAATACATCTTCCATTCCACAAAATATTTTAATTTGGACTAAATGACACTTTAGTGACCATAATAGTGTACTTGTGCTGACATGAAAACAACTCGGGAAGTACTTTTTCTTGCTCCTATGTCATGGGCTCAATCACTCTTTGTGGAACCATCAAACTTGACAACATGAATCGTTTTAGGAAAAAAAAGCTATGGCTACACCAATTTGTTATTTGCATACCAAGTATATCGCAGATACACATACAGATAACAATTGTCTGTGCATCACATAGACAATATCTGTGTGTCTTTGAACTTGATACACTCCTAACACACCTCATATTCTATTAAAAGAGTCCATTGCCAAGTGTACATTATTTATACCTTGGTTCTCGATGGGACACTGGACACTTGCAATCCAAAAGAAATTTTTGAATATTTCTCTCTAAAAATTTCCTCCCCCGATATGTAATATCAACAGATATTTAATGTTACATTGACTTTGAAAGTAAACTTTTATTTAATGTTGTATTATTTTCCATCATAATTTGTTTTAAAATGGTTGAAATTAAAATAAGATGCCAATTCTCTTGATATCTATCGACTGTATTATGAAAAGTATAAAAAAGAATTAAGGGGGTGTATTCAATTAAGATTTTATTGGATTTTTTTAGATTTCAAAAAGTTAATGGATTTGAAAAATTTGTAAAATCTATGTAGAGTTTGGTTGATTTTTTGTAGAATCCATGTAGAGTTTGAAAAATTTGTAGAATCTATCCAAATACAACTACATCCAATTTCAATTATAAAAGGAAAAAGGCAGGGGGGACCGATCGTAGAACAGAGAGGACAGGAGAGAGAACTAAGAACCGGCCTAGGGTTTCAACCCTAGGTCCGGCACGACTCTGCCATGACTCTGGCAACGGCAAGGATAGTGGCGGCGGCTGGTAATGGTTCTCCATGCCAACAAACAAAGGGGGCAAATTGGGAAAATAAGAAAGGATTACTTGTTGCTCCATCCGTATGTGCTTCTCCCCCTGCCATACCTCCATAGTCAAGGAAAGAAGCGGGAAAGAAGAAGAAAGAAGAAAAGGAAATAAATATTAAGCACGCACGGATGGAGGACAAACGGATGGAAGTCCATAGAAATCTAGGATTATGAGAAGAGATTTTTAGGAGTGAAATGTTAAGCATTTTTTGAGAGAAAATCCAACAAAATCCATAGAGTATTAAAATTCTTAGGCTCTTCAATACCTCAAAACTTTTAAAGACTCTTGAAAATCCAAGTGGAATACTTCAATATTTTTAAAGACTTTAGAAAATTCCTATTGAATACCTCAAGTTGTTTAAAGACTTTAAAAATCCAGATTGAATACACGCAGTTTTAAAAATCTAAAAAAATCCAATAAAGTCATATTTGAATACACACCCCTAAATATATGAATTTTAGTTGCATACACATGTTTTATGGGGGGCTTTTTCAAAATGCCCTAAAAACGGAAGAAATTTGTTAACATACCCTTTCTATCAAAGTGAAATTACTATCTTATCTTTCTCCCCTAAGCTGTTATTGCTACGTTATCGTTATCATACCGTTGCAGCAGCAGGGCGTCGTTTCTACCCTAGCAAAGAAATTCGTTATTCTCGTTTCGGCGGCGCGCCATTTCTCATCATTTTCTATTCCAATCGATTGCATACTCTGACGCCTATCATCGGTCGCCGATGTTGTTGGCTGTTTCCCAATTGTTTGCTGTTTGTTCCCAGTTGTCCCGTTGTCCCGCTGTTCGCTATTTGTTCCCAGTTGTTCGCCGTCTTTCGTTTGTTTCCGCTAATCGGTGAAAGGCTCTTTCAACGTAGGTACACATTCATCTAATTTTACAGTAAGGATTGTATAATTAACTATAGACGGGGGAGAGTCGACATATATCTGTTTTTTTACTGTAAATTTTAAAGTCGACATTATCAATGATTTCTAAAGTCAAAAACCTAGGGTCGACATAATTAAAGTTGGCGTATTAGGTCGATATTATAATGATTTATTATGTTGGTTTATTAGGTTGACAGTAATAAGACGATTACATGTTTAATTCCATAGTATCTGATTTAGTCGACATAATAGCTATTTGATCAACTTGTATTTCTAGATTTTCTAGATTCTATGTTGACAATTTTCCATGTAATTACATCGAGCACATTCTGAATTATACATTCTGAATTATGATTGTATCGGCGTATATAGATTGACACAGTAATAAGAAGATTACATCTTTAATTCCATTTTTGCAGTCAGATGGACTCTCGCTCTCTTCTATCTCTGTTCATTCATTGTGGTGGTGATTGGGTTGAAAATGAGAAAAACGAAATCCAGTTTAAACGAAACAAGCAAAGTAAGACACAAGTGATCGAATGGGAAAGAAGTAATGAAGACTTCAATGCCCTTCTCATGTGTATTTATCGGGACTTTGGATTGCAACAAAGTAAGCATCAACTTCAGGTTTCGTACCAATCTTCTCGGTTCGGTAGGGAATTGCCACATGTCATAATTTCCAGTGATAAGGCGTTGGGCTGTTTCCCGAGGGATAAAGATGTACATTCTACATGCTTATGTGTTGTGGTGACTGAAATCGAGGAAAGAGAGCTAGAAAATGAAACAGTCAAGCAACAACATGCAATGAATGAAAGCGAAAAGGAAGATCAAAATGGCAAAAAACATGAGTGTGTCTTCCATGATGAATATTTTGATTGCAACTTAGTATTTGATAAATGATCAGGCCATGGACATGATGGGGTTGTACTTAATGACGAACCAAATGCGAATGTGGAGACAATCCATTGCATAGGATCCAACTGCACTCCTAACTCTCCCCAACCTAATCTTGAGGTTAAGGGAGAGGTTCCCAAGAGTACGCAGGAGAAAGTTGATGTGGAGGTTGAAATTCAAAACACTACACAAGAGCATGTTGGTGTAGAGGATGGACACTACACTCGATTTCCAGATGATTTTGATTTTCCTGTCGGTGAAGTATATGGCGAAGGTGGGTCGGATGGAACATTTGGCGACGGATCAGACCTGTGTATCGGCTATGAGTTTTCCTGCAATGCTGATCTAAAGCGGAAAATGACAAAGGTAGCCATTGATGGTTGCTTCGAAACGAAGACAGAAAAGAGTGATACAACTCGATATATTCTACGTTGAAGGAGTGCTAACTGTAGTTGGATGATGCGTGCATTTTCCGTAAAGGACTCCCCTAGATTTATAATCAAAAAGTACAACAAGTTGCACAACTGTGCCATTGGTGAACGCAAGCGCAATCATAGACAAACTAACAAACTACGTCGAGGTACGTTGGGGAGGTTGTCTTGGCGACTCTAGGAGGTTCTCGGGAACACATTAAGCCAAATACAATCATGACCCTTATGCAAAATAAGAGCATGCCCATAACATATACAAAGGCTTGGCTAGGTAGGAAATTTGCAAACGAAAAGTTGTACGGGAAACCATGCGACAACTATGCGAAACTTCCTTTATATCTGCACGTGTTGAAGGAGGCAAACAATGGAAGAGTATATACCAATCTAGAGGTCAATGATGATGGTTGTTTTAAGTATGTTTTCATAGCCTTTCACGCATGTACTTCAGGTTTTAAGTTCCTCAAACAAGTAATCTCTATTGATGGCACGTTCTGCAAAACACTTGGAAAAGGTGTTTTACTAATTGCCACAGCACAAGATGGTGCCTTCCATCAGTATCCTCTTGCATGGGCCATCGTAGACTCTGAAAATAACGACTCCTACTCATATTTCTTCGGTCATCTTCATCAAGTAATCGAAGATCATCAACATTTGGTCTTCATTTCAGATAGGCATCCAAGCATCGAGAATGGTTTGATAAAACATTATACTCTGGCAGACTACGGGTACTGTCGATATCATATTCACTGTAATTTAAAAAGTTCATTAGGAAAGAAGAACAAAGATGGTTTAAAGCTATTTGATCGTCTTTCAAATGCCTACATGAAGAGGTCTTTTGATAGGATTTTCAAGGAATTTGAGGACAGGTATCCTAATGGGGCCAGGTACATAAGTACTATTCCGAAGGAAAGGTGGGAAAGGGCTTTTTTCAAGACAAACCGTTATAATATAATGACGACAAATGGGACAGAGAGCGTTAACAGCGTCCTATGACACACCAGAACACTACCCATCCTAGCACTGTTGAACGGAATGCAATCGAAGACTGCCGAGTGGCGGGGGAAACGACATACAGAGTTGAATGCTCTAGAAAACTCTAGCAGTCCGCTCACTCCAGATGCGGAAGCCTACCTTCGTAGGCGGTACCCTATTGCTTTGAAGCTTTCGAGCATGCGTTTGGGCAATTATGAATTTCAAGTCCAAGGAGTTACATCGGATCATGTTGTGAACTTGCACCAAAAGACTTGCACCTGCCGCGTATTTGACCTGGACAAAATTCCTTGCGTTCATGCATTAGCATGCTTCACGAATGATATCACGAGGGAACTGCAGATAAATGCGTACGACCTTTGTTATATTAGGTACACCAGAACTCACGCCCACGTAGCATACGGAGAAACAATTTATCCAGTACCGGCATATGAGGAGTGGTCTGTCAATGGTCTAGAACTCCATAATGTAAAACCACCAAAAACGAAAAAGAAAAGGGGGAGGCCACAAACAAAGCACATTCCATCAGCGGGAGAGAAGAGAAGGACTTCGGATTTGACCTGCTCTGGATGTCATAACAAGGGACATACAATACGGGCTTGTAGCAAAAATACACAAGAAGAACCAGAAGCAGAAGAAAACACGCAAGAAACAGATATGGAGAAGAAATTTAGTGACAAAAGGTTTTGTCACTAAATTATATGTGATGACACATATAGGTTAATGTGACACATGTCACGCGTGCATATTAAACTTTATTAAATGTTCACTATTTTATTATAGTTTATAAACTGTTCAATAAAATAATTAATAAATTTTAATTTTAAATCTATTCATCCTTTTATGTTTTACTAATTTTCAATATCAAAGAAGAGTTCAAAACTAGCAACAAAAAAGAAAAATAATGCATCTACATTAAAATGAAAGAAAACAAATAATACATCTATATTAAAATTAAAAATACACTTCAATAAGGTTCATGGTTTTGTTTCGACATGTCGACAAAAAGTTGTCGTCGTCGACTTTCGGGATTCAAGATTTCAAATCGACCAGTTCGACCAGTTATATAATTCAATTTCAAATACAAGGTAGACATGATCCACCAGTCCAATAATATTTTTGCTTATTTCGTATTGGGATGGTGTGGAGGCAGTCAACGTTCTGGGAAACCGACCAAACAACAATGGATAAAGAGTTCATCATACAGGTCGACCGGCATAAGTGGTCGATCAAGAGGGAATACTTTTCAATTTTGTACTATTCTATTCTTAAATAAAAATATAATTTGTGGTGACGGCACGTGAGATGACACATATAGGTTAATGTGACACATGTCACGCGTGCATGTTAAACATTATTAAATGTTCATTATTTTATTATAGTTTATAAACTGTTCAATAAAATAATTAACAAATTTTAATTTTAAATCTATTCATCATTTTCTGTTTTACTAATTTTCAATATCAAAGAAGAGTTCAAAACTAGCAACAAAAAAAGAAAAATAATGCATCTACATTAAAATGAAAAAAAACAAATAATACATCTATATTAAAATTAAAAATACACTTCAATAAGGTTCATGGTTTTGTTTCGACATGTTGACAAAAAGTTGTCGTCGTCGACTTTCGGGATTTAAGATTTCAAATCGACCAGTTACGTTATATAGTTCAATTTCAAATACAAAGGTAGACATGCATCTACATTAAAATAAAAAAAAACAAATAATACATCTATATTAAAATTAAAAATACACTTCTATTAAAAATGATGTATCTTATAACTATATTTCTATTAACTCTAGTTGTAAATTTGGACAGAGAGAGTATATTTATGCTTCTGATGAGATAGTGGAAAGAAAGAGTAGTTGAAAGGATTTGGCAGATTTGATGTGACCAATGAGGGTATATCAACAGATAAAGTGTGAGTGTATTAATGACGATGGCCCACACAGCTTAAAATACTGATCCATTAAAAAATTTCAATAGTTGAAATTTCAAATTTAAACAGACAATTATAACAATCGGGTCTACTACCTAATCCACATTTTTGGTCGACTAAAAGGTTCAGTCGACCAATATGTGGGTAAGTTTATTCGACCAATATGTGGGTAAGTTTATTCGACTAAAAGGTTTAGTCGACCAATATGTGGATAACAAGACAATTACCGGGTCGACCTGAATAACAAAACATTCGATATAATTTATTAAGGTCGATTGCTATTTTAAAAAGGTCGACCTGACATGTCCAAAACGATCCATTTGAATTAATGTATTTGAAAATAGGTCTACGATTGAGAAAACAACAATATAATTAAGAAAAAATGATTGTAGCGTTTAAACAAGAAATGATTGTAATCATACTAAAAATATAAACAAAAAAACCACCAAATATAAAAGCGTTTAACTCTTTTAATAATTAGTAAGCCTGGGTAGCATACGATGGCGAAAAGCATAAACAATGATTGTTTTTTCTGCAATGAAGGTAAGTACAACCTTATCCCCAAGCCTTAACCCGTTTTCATCCACAAAATTATGCCATCCTTTGTCGAGCCTGCAACCACTCTCCTTAACGAAGAGGGTGACTTCATTGGGATACACTGCCAGGCCATAAATCTGAATGTTCATTTTGCCCTCAGTAATTCCGTTGTCGGCGCAAAAAGACCTTGGCAACTCCTGAAACGAGACATTAAAAAACCTTAAATGATATTCCATCAATGGGAAGGTATTTAAAAAGATTAAACATTCAAACACACCAAATATGACTCCTTGGGGATAACATTGCGTGCCTCCAGTTTATGAACAAATGAACCTTCAATATCATCATCATCATCACCTGCAAAACAAGAAAAAAATGAATCATTCAACAAAATATCTTTCATTTATGACTAAAATGGTGACTTATTCATATACATATATTCTTACCTGAATCATAATCTGGAAACTTAATGGGGTAGGTCACCCAGTTGTTTGTGCCTAAAACTGTAACCAATAAACAAAACTCCCCAATTTTTTTAAAATGTAAAACAAATTTTGGTTGCAGCTGGTGTGCAACGGCAAACTGCTTTCATCCGCCTTTGAATTGGTGTTTCCCATCATCACCCATGTAATGTTTAACCGAAAAGAATCCAATTCGAGTCAAGAGAAGCACTATCTTCATGGAGGGACTCAATACATCTGATGGAATCACATGTTCGATGATTTATTTTTTAAACAAAATAAAATTAAGAAAAAGCGGATAGAAATTATGTGATGGGTAGTTCCTACATCTTACCAGGGTTTCAATCAATCGGTTGACTCCCGCGGCATGCGGCAAGACCACTCTTCCGGGAAATTCCTTACCCGACGTGAGGAAGAAGCCATCTCTATCTGAGTCTTACACGGGTGCACAGAAAATATGGATTTAGAGTGATAGAGGTAGCGGTATATGAGTGATTTTATCCGGCAGTGTGGTGGGAGTCAAAGGTCGTGACCAGTCATCGAGAAGTCACACCAATTGAATATTGAAAAATAATAAATCTTTCTACGCGGGAATAATCTTTCCAAAATTCTTTGGAATAGTTATAACTACCAATAACTAAAAAAGTAGGGTCCACAACTAAACTAAACTAACGGTAATAGTCACAACCAGTCATGACACTAGAGCCATTCAATGACAGCTCACAACCAATGACTACAAAAGTAGGGTCCACAAGTAAACTAAACTAACTGTAGTCACAAACAGTCATCACACCCGAGCCATTCGATGACTAATCACGGTACTCGAGGAAGTCGTCGGTATTCGGACATCTCGCGGATCAACCAGTCTGACACCCAAGCCATTTGATGACTACTGACTACCAATTACTGAAAAAGAAGTGTCCACAACTAAACTAACTGTAATAGTCACAACCAGTCGTGACACCCGAGCCATTCGATGACTACTGACTACCAATTACTGAAAAAAAAGTGTCCACAACTAAACTAACCGCAATAGTCACAACCAGTCGTGACACCTGAGCCATTCGATGACTACTGACTACCAATTACTGAAAAAAAGTGTCAACAACTAAACTAACCGCAATAGTCACAACTAGTTGTGACACCCGAGCCATTCGATAACTCCTTCGAGGTAGTCGTCGGTATTCGGACATCTCGCGGATCAACCAGTCTGACACCCAAGCCATTCGATGACTACTGACTACCAATTACTGAAAAAGTAGTGTCCACAACTAAACGAACCGCAATAGTCACAACCAGTCGTGACACCCGAGCCATTCGATGACTACTGACTACCAATTATTGAAAAAGAAGTTTCCACAACAAAACTAACCACAATAGTCACAACCAGTCGTGACACCCGAGCCATTCGATGACTACTTCGAGGTAGTCGTCAGTATTCGGACATCTCGCGGATCAACCAGTCTGACACCCGAGCCATTCGATGACTACTGACTACCAATTACTGAAAAAGTAGTGTCCACAACTAAACTAACCACAATAGTCACAACCAGTCGTGACACCCGAGCCATTCGATGATGCCTGACTACCAAAAATGCTTCTTTGTTCACGATCGATAAGGTTTGATCCATATTTTTTCATATATAATAAGAATGACATCAGCGAATAAAACTATAATGCAATCAATATCATTCATTGATTGTGAATAATAAAAAATATATATCTATTTAGTTATTATCCATACTTAATACAAATAAGTTTATTTTAATTTGTCATTTTAATATTTTAAATTTTTATATTTTTTATCTACTCGGTATTTAAGTACTTATTTAAAAAATTTGTTAAAAAATTATACATATAGAGGATAACTCATGTCCCTATTATTGTATTTATGGTAATTTAAACCGTAATTATGTTATTTATTCATACTTCCATGGTTTTATTTAGGACTAAGTTGGGACTAAATCTTACCGTAGATGGCCGCCCGGGCGGGGTGTTAAAAAACTTTGGCCGCCTAAATCAAAAAATTGGGCGACGAGGCGAAAGGTTTTGGCGGGATCTTAGAAATTCTTTTTAATCGTCCGCGGGATCTTGTCATTTTAAAAACTTTGGCCGCACTCCTGAAACGCCTCAAAAAATGCCGCAAACTTTCATTACTTTGCTGCGGGAAAATGATTTCTTCCGCACGCGACTCGTAAGTGTTTCAACAAAATCTTATTGCGTAGTTAGATTTTTAACTATTTTTAGATTTCTTCCGGATTAGATTTTTAACTATTGTTCTATATCTTCACATTACTCCCTAGCGCATCCCTGAATTTGTTGCAGATAGCATGAAGAACTTGAACAAATTGATGATAGTGACGGGTCCCGCAAATCTTCTGCTACCTACTATCATGAGAGTCACGATCTCCCGCAAATCTTCTGCTACCTTTTTGAGAGACGGTTGGATGGCCATCGTAGAATTGTACCAGTTAATGTCGGGATTTATCCAGCATTTCCAATACCATATTGGTAACATGTATTTCCTCACGGTGTTTGCTCCCCACGATGCACAGATCCTTCCTGGCTTTTATTCAAGCAAAGATGAAGACAATGAAAATTCAATGTAATTTGTATTGATTAAACTTGTTAGATATTTGAATAATTGGATGACTTAAATGTATTTTTGTCGGTATTAAGTTTGAATATTTTTTGATCCGAAGCTATTTTCTACAGAATTTGTTCGTCGACCAAACCTGTTCTTGGACCCTATGTCGATGACAACCATTAATAAACTTGGTCGACCAAACCAAAAAAAATAAGTAAATAGCAAATAGTATTAATAAACGGTGGATGATCTTATTATTTAAAATATTATTTTCTTGGGGACAGTAACTAGTAGTTGAAAAGAATTGATGTGACTGAGTAGGATATATCGAACGGTGGATCTTATCTCCGTAATTATGATGATGGCCCACACATCTTAAAATATTGCTCAGTAAAGTTATCGGTCCAAAATTATCTCTTGCTCAATAAAATTATTGTGGGCATGCATTTTGCTATTACAACTATGCCATTGGTAACTGCATTAATCACGTTCGACCGAACTAGTCTCAACTCTCAAGTTATTACACTTGTTATTGAGATTACTTTGGTCGACCTAGCCCATTAATAAACTTGGTCGACCTTTTAATAAGAGTCGCATTGATTTCCATTTGATGTTTTTTCAAATGCTATAAATAGTTTCTATGATCAACCAGACCTAATATTAGAAGAGGTCGACTGAAACCAAAATAATTAAATCTAAGCATATGTCGATTTTGAAATATTATTTCCCTATAGTGGTTTTACAGAATTTTGCATACAAAATATTTTATGTTCTTCATTTATATTCTTATAACAATATTCTTATAACAATTCTTTAATTATTTTAAAAAAAATTCCAATTGTAATAATGGGACAGTAAATTGGGACAATAAATAGTAATTGAAAAGATTTGATGTGACTGAGGCACGTTATATCGAACGGTGGATAAAGGCCCTTCTTATAATCTCCGTAAAAATAATTCTTGGGATATGCATTTCCCTGCATGCTTTTAAACTACCCGAATTCAATGCCAAACCGTTCAAAGTCATTGCACCAAGAACCGTTCAATTCCAAAGCCTTCTTTCACCAAGAACCAATGGTTATCCCCCCTATAAATTCTAAGTCATTGCACCAACCTAATCTCCAATCCCTTCACAAATCCGGTTATTCTCCAATCCCTTCACCCATCCTATTCTCCAATCTGGTTATCTATCATTAAAATTTCTCACCTTTTTATCATAATGGTTTGGGAGTAATGGTTCTTTCATTTACGTGGTTCTTTAGTAAAGAGCATAACAGATTTCTCGAATTAATAAAAGGAGCATAATGGATTTCTCGCGATCCATTATGCCCTTTTTGCCATTCTCCCACCGCCTTAACCGGAAACACATCGTTTTTGGATCAACAATAAGTCTTCGAGAAACAATGTGTTTTCTTCCCGTAAACTTATTTTGGGATGGAGAAATGTGCGTCAATTGCTACTGGCTCTTGGGGGGCTATGGAGGAGGAGGCACAACGAGTACAGAGCTGACATGGCGGAGGCTCTGAGCTCAAGTGGTGAGTCCAAGAATGTGCTTCTCACTACAGAGATCAGTATTGGATTATGTTATTACAGTCCTGGGTTGACTCCTGGTTTATTAACCGACACGAGGAGAAGGATCAACTAGTACAGACCTGACATGGTAGAGGCTTTAACTCAAGTGGTGAGTCCAAGAATTCATTTCACACTACGGTGACCAGAAGTCTATACATTTTGTGATGGACACACATAACGAGTTCCATTTGTGCTTTTGTGGTTTTCATATTGCTGCAGAATGTTAAACAATGTACAACGAAGTTAATTTCTGTTGTGTTTCTTTAATTCATTTATATGATCATCTTTAGTTTATTGGATTCAAGGTTGTTCTCATATATTCCCGTCGATTGTTAAACAATTTGATACAACAAGACTCGTGTCGAATGTTAAATTTCATCACTTAATAATAAAACATTACAATAATTGATACAATAATTAAAAAAAGATTTAAAAGTTTACAAAGGGGGAAATTTATTTTGATCTTAATTCAACCCATTCCTCATCACTCTTCGTCACTCATATCAGAGGAAGCTCTAGAATCAAAGTTGCTCACTGATAATCCTAGGATTTTTGCCAAAGCTTCCACCCTCTCTTCCAAATTCTGCATGATTTCCATCCAATTTTGAGACCTGTTTTGGAGTTCTTTTTCTTCGGTCTCCGGTACCCCGAGCTTTTTCTCCAGATCTTTCACTCTCTCCTTCCATGACTGAATTTTTTTCTCAATGTTTTTTGGGACATCATTTGCATTGTTTTCCATATCGAAAATTGTTTGAGATGCGGGTGATTTACATTTCAATATTTCCGAATATATAAGCGTAAGAAACGCTTCACTCTCAGCCAGCATTAACATCCCGTGAACTTGGTCAAAGTTTGGGAAATATGCGACACTGAAGTTAATGCTGCATGTGAATAGGAAAAGAAATAGTAAACATATACTCTCTCCGTCCAATATTAAACTTTACGTTTTGACCGGGCACACAAATTTATGTGGAATGAAAACTAGTTTGACTTTCCTATTATACCCTCAAGTTTTAGCTCTCCCCCCACTGAGATTTAGCACCCCACCGCCGACGAAGCAGCCCCTGGCCTGATAGCCCCTGCCCCCTCGCCGTCCAAAGCCCCTACCGCCGCTGCCCTCTCGCCGTCCAAAGCCCCTACCGCTGCTGCCCCCTCGCTGTCGAAATCCCCTACTGCCGCTGCCCCCTCGTCGTCGAAAGCCCCTACCGCCGCTACCCCCTCTCCGTCGAAAGGCCCCGCCGCCGCTGCTCCCTCGCCATCGAAAGCCCCTTGCCGCTGCTGCCCGCTGACCAGATCTCTTTTCTAGATCTGGTCAGATCTCTTTTCTGCCCGCTGCCCAAGATGCAATCCGTTAGATCTGATAGACGGGAGAAGAAAGAAAAAGAAGGAAGAAGAAACAGAAATAAATGAGGAAGAAAGAAGAAGGAAGAAGAAAGGGAAAATTGAAGAAGAAACAATACGGAAGAAGAAAGAGGAATAAGAAGGAGAAAGAAGAAAAAGAAAGAGAAATGAAGAAAGAAGAGGAAGAAAGAAAAAAGTTGAAGAAAGAAAAAAAGAAAGGAACGAAGAAAGGAAGAAAGAAGGAAGAGGAAGAAGATGGGACAAGGGTAGGAAGGACATTTACTTCATAAAAACATTCCTAAAATAGAAATGTAAAGTTTATTTATGGACAGACGAAAAAGGAAAGTGTAAAGTTTAATTGTGGACGGAGGGAGTAACTTATTAAATTATTATTATTATTGTTATTATTATTATTATTAAAGTTAAACATATAACTTCAAAAAAAAATTTCTTCAAAACACCCTTAAAATGTCGACATATGTGGTCAACCTATTATTAAGCAACGTTTCCAGCGTCGTTTTATATTATAATGTCGACATTTTTTATATAGGCGGAAGAAACGTTGATCTTTCAGTCAACGTTTTGGTTGTGCGGATTTGTAGTTAATGCATGTGAACTTTAATTATGTCGACCTATTATATGTCGACCTATTATAATGTCGACATATTAAATGTCGACATATTAATAAGCATTGTCTTCATACTTGACGGCGTCGTTTTATATTTGGTATCAGTTAGTATTTTTTAAACAAATACTAATTTTATATTTGGTATCCGTTAGTATTTTTTTAAATTACAAAACGAGTAAAATACGTAATTGGGAAATGTGCCAATTAAAAAAATTGAATTACACAAGGAGTTAAAACAGTAATTAGGAAACGATGCCTAAGTTTATCCGTCGACGGCGTTGTTTCATTTATGGGCCGGATACTATAAATTTGAGAATCACCAGCTAGGGTTTCATCCGTAAAAATGTTCATTCTCATCCATTTGTAAATATCTGCAGAATGATGAGTTTTTCTGTTATCCTCTCCAAAGATCTTGGTTTCAGGGAAAGATTGGTTTGTGATTTCATTCATTTTCTTGTGTCTATTTTACTTGCTTTTAAATTATGTTATGTCTAATTCACTCAATCTTTTAATGATTCAGAGGATCCCACATTACGTTAATATGATTGCCGATGGTCCATAGTATGCTGATGGCAATGTCATCAGGATTTTTTCCCCGCTTTCCTCAGACCCTTTTGAAGTGAAAATTCATGTATGTGACCAAGGAAACCTCTTTTTTCGGGAGGGCTTGGCTAGAATAGTTGAGGCCCATAATGTGGAGGAGAATCATTTTCTTTATTTTCATTATGTAACAGACTTTGATTATACTATCAAAGTTTTTTATAATAATATTGCCACCGAACAATAATATGTACTCCGTAATATTTTTATTTTAATGAACTATTTCCGTTGTTCATTCAGGGTCTCAATTAGGTTAAAGGCTCATAATGGATTTCTCAATTAGGTAAAAGGCTCATAATGGATTTCTCAGGATCCGTTGTGGACCTTTTTCCAGGAATGAAGTTAACAGTTATATCTTCTCTCAGGGAGTATCAAAAGATCATAAAGGATGGATTAGCAGACCCTGAGGCATTGGCATTTTTTAGAGAATGTCACCCAGAAGGCTTGTAAAGAAGTAATGAAACTTGACTACTTATAATGCTTCTTTTATAAGCTTATAAAGATCCATTTTTTTGTTTACAAGCCTTATGAGTGACTTTCTCTAAAAAATGCCAACGCTTCAAGGTCTGCTAATCCATCCTTTATGATCTTTTGATACTCCCTGAGAGAAGATCTAACTGTTAACTTCATTCCAGGAAAAAGGTCCACAACGTATCCTGAGAAATCCATTATGAGCCATTCCTCCATAACCAGCTGGCATATGATGGAGGAATGAGTGTTTATACAGCTCATAATAGATTTCTCGTAGAACCAAAAGGCTTTTGATGCCGGCAAGACAGTATTAGGTGACGGGATCTCGTATAGAATATGAAGCTTGTTTTATAAAACTCATAATAGATTTATCATATAACCAAAAGGCTTGTGATGGGGATCTTGTATAGTGTAGGGAAGTATTTGTAAGCTATCTTTGTACTATCCAGAATATGAATTAAATATGGAAGATGTTGACTTGTATATGAATATGGTAGGTCGACTTTTCGTGAATGTGGCGTTAAATTGTAAACGTTAAATTGATTCTTTTCAATTAAGGATCAACCTTTGTGTATGAATATAAAAGATCTTGACTTTTCTATGAATATGGTAGAGGTCGACTTTTCGTGAATGTGGCCTTAAATTCTAAACGTCAAATTGATTCTTTTCAATTAAGATCAACTTTTGTGAATGAATATGGAAGAGGTCGACTTTGTGTATGCCTAAAATTCACAATGTAAAATTGATTCGTTTTCTATGTCGACATTTGCATAGCAAATTGGTCGATATGTTAGGTCGACTATTTCAAGTCGATATGTTAGGTTGACTATTTCATGATACTATTCTAAGTAATCTCCTTGCATCCTCCAAAGTTTAGAATTGCTACAAATAGTTATTGTGGCTAATTTTTTATGTTTTGTGACAAAATTTGATGCCACAAAATGTTAATTTTTTTTGTGTGGATTTTTCGACGTTTAGCTTTGGCCTAATGCATCTTCTTAAAATATCAAGTGTACTCATAATACTATGAATAGACCCAGTGTCAACTTTGCTAGTTATTACGAGGTCATTTGCAAATACCCGATTAATCAATTTTGTTGGATATCTTATAATATTATTCACAACATGAATTAAATATTTATAATTAACATTTCATTGTTTCGTTAATTTTGCCTAAAATTCTCAATGTTAAATGGGTTAGTTTTCTTTGTCGACCTTTGCGCAGCGAATTGGTCGATAAGTGAGGTCGATTATTCACACAAATACACATCGAAATACAATAGCACAAGATTTCTATTTACGAGTTTTAAAAGTCCTCTCTACATATTGCATATGCGTATGCAGTTCTCAATTGGACAACGTCAAGTTCACTGAATCTGGTAAGCACCGAAGGTTGCAAATCATGAACACCAAGCTCATTGAACTTCAAAGAAAACACCCCACAGTCTGAATTTGTCTATTGCACCACCAAAGGCCGTTCAACACTCCATTGCGCACTCATGCCTCTGTGGTCGCCAGGAATACCTTGAAGATAATTAGATGCGTAATGGCATATCACAGGAAAAAATTTGAGCATATTTGACAATACTTCTTCAAGTTTACTCATGCTTGTAATTCGTTGTAGGGAGTCGAACACCACCAGACACTTTCTCTCGAATTCAGCTCTTATGGCAACCCAATGATCGGATATGTTATGAACCCAATAAACACATGAAATATCCTTCCACGGTTTAGAGCATGTGTTCCATCTACCATGAACTATTTCTGTGACGCCGGAGTCCAGGATTGGAAATAGATCAGTAGTGGCATTTACCTCACTTAACATTTGGAAGCTCTCTGGGAGGACGACGTATGTGCTATCTTTCTTGTTATACATTTTCATGAAGTAGATCATGATTTCTTCCATATGCTGCAAATGAAATAAAAAGGATAACATATTAAATTTATAATACTAAGATATAAATATATAATACTAATATTACCGAGGTCTCCAACCAGCCGCCAGCCTTGATCAAGGAACTCCACCACTTCTTAACAATCCCGTGGGACTCTCCCGTCTTTTCCATGATACACTGAACTTCTCTCCCATCAGCAATTGCCGACTGCATGAATTGATGGAAGGCCTCAAGTTGTTGGCTGGATGGGTTCCTTCGTTTGTTGAGTTGGGCTTCTTCGGCTTTGTCCAGCTCATTTGAACCTTCATTATTTATAACCTTTACCTTTTTATGTACACTGGCGAAGTATGGGCTCGATATATGAATACTTCGTTTCTTCTCCCAGAGGCCTCGACCCAATTCTTGGATGTTAAAAGTAATATGTCAAGGAAAAGTAAGTTTAATTCAATAATACTCATATTAAACCGTACCCGTGCAGCAGCGACTTCATCCACATCTGTCAGTTCTCTCAAGACGTCACCATCGAACTCAAGGTTCTACTCAGAATTTTTAAGGAATAAGCATTAAGCAGGATCACAAATGAAAATATCAGAATATAAGTTTATTACCTCATCAACATTGTTTTCAGTTGATTTGCAGAATTCAACAACATCAACTGTAAACTTTTCCTCAACTGTAAACTTTTCCTCCTCTTCTTCCTGACCATTGGAAACATAATGCTGTACAAAAGACTCAAAACATAAGAACATACTTTGTCGACCATATATATTAGAGTAAAAAAGATCGACGAATGGGGTCGACCAAATTACCTGGATCGGTGGACTCCCATTCTTTACTTCTTCCTCTTCATTAAGGTTAAATTGGTCACCCTCTTCTTCCTCTTTCTCTTCAGGAATTCCTTCAAAATTGGAGGGGTTGACCATATTAACTTCAATGGGCTCATCTTCTTCCTTCCCATCTTCTTCCTTCCCATCTTTTATTTCCTCCTCTTCATTATGGTCCACCTCTTCAAAACTAGAGGGGTCGACCATATTCACTTCCACCGGCTCTTCTTCCTTCCCATCTTCTTCATTTGCTTCGTCACTCCTTCCCTTTAAGGTGTCAAGTAAGGTTAAGAGAATTCTTTTTTTTGTGTCTGAAATTTTCTCTCCAAGACATTCTCCACCTCCTGACATAGCGTCTTTTGAAGCTCAGAAAATTTACCATCAATGTAATCTTTCAGTGAATCAGGCAAGTTTTCACTAGCATTTCCACTAAAAGATGAATCCTTGATATTGGTTGTTCTTTCCAACAGAGGGCTCTGCTTTTCCAACAGAGGTCTGTGCTCTGCTTTTCCAAGTGGGGTGCTCGGCCTTGATATTTTTCTCCTCCTAAAGACATACTTTTTGGAGGGGACTTCTGACCCCTCACTTGAAGAGTGAACTTCATCTGATGATGAATTCCTTCCTGCAGCAACTTCATCTTCACTTGCTCGGGCCAGAAGTTGTTTTTTCATGCATAATTGTATATGCTTGTAACTACCTTGGATTCCCCTTACGAATTCTCCAAGAGTTGGATTGGAAACACAAGGCAAAGAGGTCAGACTGGTGATCCAAGGGGCACGTATTTCACTTCCCTTTGGAAGAAGAATGCTCCTTACACTCTACAAAAGAAAAAGCATTTTTAAAAAATGATTGTAGATCATGAAGTCGACTTCACTTTAAAGATCATTAAGTCGACTTTCACCTTAAGTCGACCTTTCACTTTAAAGATCATTAAGTCGACTTTCACCTTAAGTCGACCTTTCACTTTAAAGTTTAGAACTTACCTTAGCAGCGTTAAGTGCATTGATTATGGCTTCGTGCGACGGCTTTTTTGAACTTTTATTTTTCCAGAGACACATTCTCGGAAGTGCTGGATTTGTTTGCTCCCTCTTCACTCCTAATGTCTCTCCAAAATCATTAATACACTCAAATAGGAGAAACTGCATGCACCAATAAATGAAGCCCAATTTAACCAATGAAATTATTGGAACTTTTAATACCAATTTAAATTAATTTACTCACGGATGAGGGGAGGACAAAGCCAGTGTAGCGGAGGGTGTTGGATGTTTTCCCGCCTTTGACAAGCTTCTTCTTTTCTGAAACTAAGTCCTTCCCCAAAGATTGGATACGGAGGGACTTCAGGAATGCCCATGTCCCCCATGAAAAAGACATGGAATCATCAGACTTTGCAACAGTGGCAAGGATCCATTTTGGAACTGGGGCATCTTTCTTAGCATGACCAATCAAAACGAGGACAACAAACATCAATGTCGCCACCTTCACTATCCATTGGAGTGCATACTCTTTCTTCCCTTCATCCTCAAGTAGCCGGCACAATTTCGAGATCCTCTCGACAAGAGTAGTGTAACATACCATACTCTTTGACCAGTTTTCTTCAACGAAAACACGCAGTGAATCCTTATCATACTTCTCTTCGTATCCGGATTCTTGTTCTGAACATTTGAGTCCAGTAATCAAGGAAAATTCCATTAGAGAGTATCTGTAACGCCCCAAATTATACCCTAAAATTATTAATGAATAAATAATCAATTAATCAAATTTGTTTTTATTAAAATAAATTATTACTGGGCTTTGGGTCGCTACGAATTATGTTTTGATATCCATTATAACAATCTGGATAAATCTCATAGAGATAAAATCTAATATGCTGACTAATTGTGTAGTCTTGATTGGGGAACCTGAGTACAGACCCAAAATCAAGAATAAATGAAGATATTATTTATGATGTGAACTTTTAAAATGATTTGTTAAAATAAATTATGAGAATAATTTATGTGAATTAAATGTCAGAATCTTTTTGAATAAAATGTCAAATAAACCAATTTTGACTGTGTCAAAGTCAAACGCCCAAAAATGTGATGTCGGAAAAAAGTATGAGAAATAAATATAAAACTTATATAGTTGGATAGAGTTTAACTGTCTGATCGCAATGGTGCAAATGAAATTCAATTCGGAGAAAGTTGGAACAAAAAGTGTACCCCGACTAGGACCAAAATTAGTCCCAATCAGGGTGGCATGTAAAATCCTACAAATCGCCGTTGAATCCACGATCGTGAATCGTCGCTGACTCAGCATGAACGGCAGCTTCTTCTTCTCCCTACCTATATAAGAACTCTCATCCTCTCCGCATTTCTTCACCAATCTTTCCAATATTAATACCATTGTATTTAAAAGAGTGAGGAGAGCAGTCTGGTATTGTTGGTTGCCACCGAAGTCGCCGGAGTTGGGAGTTATCATCGCCGGAAAATTCTCAAAATCTTTGATAAGCTTCGAGGTAAGCCCGTAGATATATCTAGTGACTAGAATGTTCGTATAGATCGTTTCTACGTTCATAACGGTCGTTTGGTTGAGTTTTGTGTTTGACATGCTTAAAGAACCAAGAATCATAAACCATGAATTTGATGTTAAAACTATGAATTAATTATGACAAAATGATCTATGAACCTTGGAGAACATTTCTATATAGTTTAATCAAAGTTTGGAAACTAAAAATGGAATTTTCGAAATTGGAGTCGCGAGGTAGAAGACGATGAACAGTGGCTGAAAAGCCACTGTCTGGATCGATCATCTAGAATGGATTGCTCCTCTGGGAGTAGTTTTTCACATCATGGATCGATCCAAAGGGCTGGATCGATCCCCCCAAGTTCTGATCCTAAATTTGCCCGAAATTGCTATTTTGAGCTCTAAAATCCTATTTTTGATACCAATTCATTATGATCATTATAAAAATTATTTTTCACAATAAAAATGATGTTTTTAACAAATAAAAATGATATGTGATGCATGACGGTAAGTTTGGGTGTTAACATTCGAAACTAGACCGTTATTTATTATCAATTGTTATGTTGGTTGATGATTATGATGAATGATCATTATGGATGATTATGAATGATGAACTTATTGATTAAAATGATTATTGATGATTGAACCATGAGTAAAATTAATATATTGATAATCATTAAACAATTTGTATTGTTAACGGTATCTAGAAGAACTCTAAGATATACCCATTAGTTAATTGATGTTAAGGCTATCTAGAAGACCTCTAGAATAGATCTTGTATTAGAATAGACTTATGAAAACATGAATATTTGATGAATTAGATAAAAATGTATAAACGGGATTCGTAGACCAAACTAGAGGATTACTCGTTTGGGAATGTTCGATCCAATGTTGATCAATCGCTATATTGTTGTTGTCTTAACCGACTACAGTTAAGTGTNGTTTGCCTTAAACTAGTGACAGTTTAAGTGTCTGATTGCCTTATCTGACTACAGTTAAGTGTCCGAAATCAATTGCCTTAAACTAATGATAGTTTAAGTGTCTGATCAATAATTTCCCTAAAAGAATCTGGTTATGGAAATTATGATTTGGTCTTAGACTAAGAATAGCTAAGAGCATTATTATGATCTAGCCTTAGACTAAGAATAGCTAAGAGCGTTGTTATAATCTGGCCTTAGATTAGGAATAATTTAAGAGCACTATTGAAATAGTATCTGAATTGAATAAAATATGTTCATATGAACTAAACAATACCAAAAACTATGAATGTCTGAAATGAACATTGTGTGCATGATATCAAATGAATTGATTATGAATTTAGATTCAGTTTATATGGATGTTCGACGCATTAGATATGCTTACTCAGCTTTATCGCTGAGCGTGTAGTGTGTTTTATTTGCTACACACAGGTAAACAAAAAGCATAATGTGATCCTGGCGGCAGATGGGCCGAGATTGTCCAGATGGATGTGACAAGTTTGAAATGATTTATGATATGTCAATATTAAATTTGCTTCCGCAATATTGTTGAATACTCCGTACTGTATATGTTATGAAAAATATTACTGAGATTAATAAAGTGTGTTTGAAAAGTTTTAAATTTTTATAATTACCAAGTTAAATACTTTAGTCCGAATGGGGCTGCAGACCTGGACATATTAGTGTGTTATAATTTGGTATCGGAGAAAAGTTAGGCCTGAAACAGATATCTTTCTAATCTGTGTGGTATGGGACATATAGCTTGGTAAGATACATGTAGCCGGTGGAGGTATATATCTCTCTAATCTGTGTGGTATAGGACACACAGTTTGGGGAGATACATACAGACAACTCATGATCCTTGGGAACCCTCGCGCGTGAACGGTGGCGAAGCGTGACTCCTTCCTAAGGGCTCAAGCAATTGAGTGCTTTGATAGGACCAAATTGTAGCCACATAGATGTGTTACAATTTGGTATCGACGCAAATGGTTTTAAAACCGATCTTCAGATCAAAAATTTGAATTTAAAAAAAAATGTGTCAGTCACATCCAAGACTCTCGCATCCCTCTGCTCCAGGAAAGGTATGAGAAATTACTTAGAAAATATTTTCTCTGTTAGAATTCTCATCAGAGAACAATTGTTAGTACTGAAATTATATCGAGCATAGACTCAAGTAAGTTTTTTGTACTCGGTGAACAGACGAAAGAAAAAAAATTGACTCCCTTATACGTTATCAACGTACTTATCGCATCGCGAATGACGAAACTGATCTACCTCGCAAAGTCGCATGGAAGTGAGACGACTATGAAGAAACGATTAATGTTGAATAACCTCTGTAAAGCCGATGTCGAAGATCTTCATGTGGACTCAAGACGATCCAGTCGCTGATTCAAACACTAGTGTTTAGAATCAATAAACTCTGTTATCTAAAGTATACCATTCCGTTATGAATCGAAATTGTTCGTTGAGCGACGATTCCTTGCAAAACCTCGTTGAAATACCATACAAGGAAATTGATGTTATCCTTAATATGAATCGGTTGACTAAACAACATTGCTGTTGACAACTCTTGAACTGAAGACTAATGATGGTAACCTCATAGAGGTGAAAGCAAAGCTGATTACTAAATCGATTTAGTTCATCTAGAAAGAATGCACAAATAAGGATAGATCGATGAGACTCTGTATCAACTACCAAAAATCGTTATCCTTTACCTCGTATCGATGACTTATTTGATCAACTTAGAGGATCCATAGTGTTCTCTAAGATTGACTTACGGTCAAGATACTATCAAATCCTTGTTAAGAAATTCGAACGAACTGACAATAAAGAGTCGCTATCCTTTGCTACAAAGTGACGACTTGTTGGGTCGAAGAACCTACGTGTTAGAAACGATGGACAGCTCAATCTTGTTGAAAGAAGTGATGCCTTGTTATGAAATGTCTACTGACTTAATTTCTTACCATCGAGAACATCAATGTAATTTGATTGAATAAATAAAATAAAGTGATATCTGTTATCAACTCGCCTATTCAATCCTAATGAAGGAATTTCTGTTATTGTAGTATGAGTTAAGAAACCGCTCACGGTCAAAGTAACCAAGTGCCAAACAACGAACAAGAGAATGTTCATACCGAAGCATCTAATTTCACACCTCCTATTCAAAATGAACCAGTGAACCCACAAAATATTCTCCAAAATGATCAAAATGTTGGAGGTCAACCTGATGCTATGCTACCTACCTTAATGGTAAACTTCTTGCAACAAATGACTCATGCCCCTATGTTTCAACAACCTTCACCACCACCTCGTTTGATCATTTTCAAAACCTTGAAAGATAATGGTGCTGAGGAGTTTCTGGGAGATCGAATTGCTGAACCCCAAATTGCTCTTGAATGGATCGAGCAGACCGCTCGTGTACTACAAAATTTGAATATACCTCTTGTTGATCATCCAAAATTTGCATCTCAATTGCTCCGCAAGGAAGCCTACGAATGGTGGAAACGTACTGACGAAAATCCAAACACACCCAAACCTTGGACTTGGGAATTTTTCGATTGGGCATTCAAGAAGGAATATATCCCAGCTCGATACTGTGAAGAGAAGCGTGCTGAATTTATTGAATTAAAGCAAGGAGATATGACACTCCCTGAATACCGACAAAGATTTGTCCATCTCGCTCAATTTGCACCCACGCTCGTGAGTACAACCGCTGCCCGCATTGAGGAGTTTCGCAAAAGACTTCGACCTGATCTTAGGCCGCACGTATCTACTATTCAAACTGTAGATTTCATTGAAGCATATGACCTAATCTCCAAAGCCGAAAAAGATCTAAGTGATTACTATGAAAGTCTGAAGACTGAGAGTGTCAATCCAAATGAACGACCAATTTCAAGTGGGAAGAGACCCCTGCAAGAAATCGAAATTGCCATACACTCGAAAAAGGGAAAATCAATGACAGTTCAATCGACATCATCCATAAACAAAATGAGAGTATGGAAATATCCAAAGTGTGATATTTGTAAAAGACACCATCCTGGAGATTGCTGGCTTGCACAAGGATTATGTCTAATTTGTGGTGAACCTGGACATTTCCAACGAGAATGTCCCTCTAAATCTGAATCATATTCAGTTACTTCTGTCTAAGATCAACCTGTTCGCTCAGGAACAAGTCAACGTTCTAAAACACGAAACAATTCAAAGAATCCAACCCAAGGATGATACTCTATGAAGATCCTAAAGTGTTACAAGGGCTCGAGGATATGTTGAATAATGTAGAAACCTTATGTAAACAAGATATTATCTTTCGATTTGT